CAGCCAGGGGCCTGCTGTCTGTCCTGTTATTTTGTAATGGATGCTTTCACCCCCTTGTCCAGCCTCCACTCCACCACTAGTGTATTTTACAGTAAACACAGTGGAACCAGAGCCCTGAAGTCCTGCTGATGTAAAGTCTTTCTGTTTTAAATGTACAAAAACATATACTCTTGGCCACGTTAGCTGTAAATTGAGGGCAGGTTAATTCAGGAATCTGAGACTAATGACTTTGTTTTGTCTTGAACCTTCAGAGAGCAAATCAAAGAAAAATTACAGGGGAAAGGGGAAAGTGGCTTATCATTGAACTCTTTTGGTCTTATTTTAATTTTTAAAGACTACTTCACAAGATGCACTTTCCACAGAAACCAACATGACATGTCTTGGTCTTCTGTTGGTAGGAACCCGATTCTGGTTCCTCTTTGGGAATGAGCTGGACAACACACAGGTACAGAAAGACAGATGTTTGAAATCTTTGGTTCTGATCCCCAACTCGTTTACTATCTTTTGTCCTGGGGACCTTAAAATAATTTCCCTCACAGAAATAGAATTACTTCATCACTGCTTCTACAGCCAGTTCACCATTTTTAGTAATTCGTTGGTCTTTGGGAATTGAGATTTTACGTTGCCTCATTTTTATTTTTTAAGCCCGTTAATCATCTCCGAAACCTTTCTGGCTTGGTTCTGGCAACATTTGGAATGAAACTGATTGTCGTGATCATGTCCAAAACAATTTGGCCTCGGAGAGGTGTGCCTTACTTTTTTTTAGCCTAACAGTGTCCGGTGGACTTGCACATGCTCTTTAGAGCATTTGAAGAAGATCGAAAATGTCCTTGGAACCTCAGAGTTTCAAAAGGGAATGATGAGGACCTGTAACCACTGTTGGTGCACCAAAAAGGGTGACAGGGGCACCGTTTATATGGTCATAGCAGCCCTTCATAGTTTAGAATGATCAGAACAAGGAGGCCACTTCTTGGCTAGGAGTCTTCCCTCAGTTTTCGTTGACTATCACACACTATACACTGATTCTGGGGGCGCAGGCAGGGGGTCGGAGATACCTTTGTACTTCGGTAGATGATGGAGTGGGGGAGGGAGAAGAGAGCGGGGGAGGGGCTCGCCGGATCAATTGCCTGCCTGGAAAAGTTGTCACCATAAGGTATGATTCAGGTTGGGCCCAGAAGTAATAAAAGATGTTTTTTCATAATGCCTCTCATGTCATACCTCTGTAGAGATTGTTTCTTTGCAGAATGTGAGCTGTTTGCTAAGGCTGTTGACATGTAGCCCCAAAATACACATTGGTTTTGAATGGGGGTTAAAGAGGCCGGGAGGAGATATGAGTATATTATGAATATTTAGTGGCCAGTATTCAGCTGTCTCAGAAAAACTATGACAGCCTGGAAGCTTTTGTCTGCCTGTTAAAGTGTCTTGAGGTACCAGGACACGCGACTGACTGTATTTTCACGTACGAGTAGAGAACTAGAAAGGATCTGAGTAGCTTCACAGAAGGGTGGAAACAAAGTACGGGGCAGAGATTTACCTTTTCAGTCCACAGAACAGCAAGTAGCATCAGTCTAAGTTACCTGAATTTTTCTCACTTTCTTTTGCTCTGATAGAGGACGTGAGGCTCATTTTGCCGTTTCCCAGACCCTGCCCACTTAATGAATCTGTATTGTTTCTTCCTAGAATGGGAGGCATCTCAGACTTCCAGGTTAATTTAGGTTAAGGAGTATTAGTCAAAGTTCTTTAGAGAAGCAGAACTGATGGTGTGTGTGCGTGCGTGTGTGTGTGCGTGTGTGTCTGTGTGTCTGTGGGGGTTTGTAAGGAATTGGCTCATGCAATTATGGCAGCTCGGAAGTCCCAGGATTTCCTGTCAGCCAGGGGAAAGTCGATGGTTATCGTTCAGTTCGATTCCTAAGGCCTGAGCATGGGCGAGCCGTGTTCTTTCCAGTTCAAAAGCCGAAAAGTTCAAGACCCACGAAGATCCGATATTTCAGTTTGAGTCCAAAGACAGGAAGGACTGATGCAGTCAGGCAGGAGGCGGTACCCCTCAACAGCAGGAGCATCGGCCTTTTTGTTCTGTTCAGGCCTTCAGCTGATTGCACGAGGCCCACCATACTGGGGGGGAATGTGCTTTAGTCATTCTGCTGCTTCAGATATTAATCTTACCAAAAGATACTCGCACAGACGTACCCAGAGTAACGTTTGACCAAGTATCTTGGCACCCCATTGCGAAGTCAGGTTGATACTTAAAATTAACCATCACAAGGAAGAAAAATAGAAATGACGCCCAGTACAATGATCCTCATCCCACTTTTTTGCCAGGCGAACAGTGTGTGTGTAGAAGTGTCTGTCTTGCTTAGAGATCTTAGTACTAGTGTCAAACCGTGGAAGAAATATATGTGGGACGAGGACCAGGGTGCTGGATGCGTCATACCTGTGTTTTCTCTTCCACCTAAGTTCATCTGGAAGTCTGAGATGCCTCCCATTCTAGGCAGAAACTCTGTGGATTTGCTGACCTAACACTGGAACGTGGCTGGGGTTAAGAGTTTATTTCTAGGAATGCCTTTCAAACACAGTTTAGATACAGTGCCCAAGGCAGAGGGCTACGTAACCCAGACTTTTCAGGTGTCTGATTCCTTTATATCAGACAGGCTTACAGACTCAGGATTCTGGATCCTTAGTAGGATTCAAGAGAGTCGATTCAACTTTCCCTGAGTGTCAAAGGGAAGGGAGAACCGGTGCAGTTTCAGATCTTGAGCCATTAAATTTTGAGGCCTTTGCATTCGTATTAAATGCCCCACCCTTGGAGTCCCACGCAGAGCTGAACAGATTGTTTTCTTAGTCACGAATGTGTTCTTTATCTTCCCCTTGTCCATATAATTTGAAATAAGAGAGAAGAAAACTATCTTAGCACAGAAATAAGAGAAACTTCTAGAGACTGGTAGACTTGAAAGTTGAGAGTTTATATAGGGCAGCTCCTTGCTGGTCTTAACTGCAAACTGCAGGTGCTCATTGCTTTTCAGGTAGTTTTCCAGGCGTGTTAGTCTAAGTCGCCTTCATCTGGCTTAGTTCCGGCTGGACAGAACGGGCAGTTGGTCAAGAGGGGCCGAGTAGAGAACTGTCAGCTGATAGATCTCCAACGTCTTTAAAGTTTCTAAGCTAGTGAGTTGGGAACAGGGAGAAGGAATAATCTGGACACAAAAAAGTCAGTTTTCCCTCAAAGTTCCTATTGCCAGTTCTCTGAAGAGTTGAGAAACTTGGAGAATCCTGAATGATATTTTGTCCCTGTTGATGTAGCTCCTTGACTCTTTCTTTATGATAATATTTTAATTTCTAAGAAAGAGGAATTATTCTAGGTGGAAGACGTGGAAATGGCTATAAATCACATAGCTTCTTTAGCTCATTACGCCTTTCAGTTGACATTTGCTGCGTAACAGCCGAGCAAGTACTCGTTGCATGGTTTCCTCGAGCAGTATTCTCCGGTCCAATAATTGGCTGTCAAGTCAGAAGAAAGATTTTTGGGGAACACTTCTTCCCCCCTAACAAGTCTCCCTTTGATTAAGTAGTTACTAGAAAAATTCCTGTTTATGTCTTCGTTCTGCACATTCATACGTGTGTGGCTACATGTATATATTCGCAGACACACACATAGGCTCCTCTCACTCGAGGAAGAAAGGATATGGTGCTGAGGTGGAGTGGGCCGGGGGCGGCGGGGGCAGGGGCCTCACAGTCCGGTTCTCACTGTGCACGCTCAGGCCCTTGCCCCTATGGTTCTCGGTGACGGGACACTGCTGGCTCGTTACTGGTGTGGCGAAGGGATTCAATAGCGGTAAAAGCCTAGTCGTTTATGAAAGTTGAGAATAAATGGCTTTGAGGAAAAGGTGTTTATAATCCATTGCTTCTTTGTCATAAGCTAAATACCTTTTTTTTTCCATGATAAATTATTGCTGCCAAATGGACTTCTCTGCGACTTGCATGCTTCCGTTTCTTTCTCCCTGGCGTCCAGGCGCATTTCCTCAGGGAACGTTAAGGACATCAGTCCGATGAGGAGGGCATCATGCGCCGCGTCTGCTCTAAGCAGCAGGGCCCCCCTGGGTTTCGGGAGGCGCAGGGCACGCCAGACTCGATTGCGAGTGCTGACCCAGGCAGGCCGCCCATGAGCCGGCTCCCTCCTGGAAGCCGGGCAGGGCCGCTCAGTAGGTGGTGGTGTCAGGGGAGCCCCTTCTGGCCTCGTGCTGGAGGGTGGGAGGCCAGAGGGCTGTCTGCAAGAGTGAACCAGTGGGGACCCGGAGCTGGGGGACTGGAGAGTGCTCTCTCTCACAGTGTCCAGAATGAATCTCACATAAGTCCTGATGCAGGGAGTTGGGGGAGATTCGATGGGGTAGACGACATCAAGGCTCTCGTGTGGGAGGATGAAGCTGGTGGTGATGTCAGAGTCGGCGCACAGGCCGCGACCCACGGGCTGCTCCAGGGTTTAAGATGGGACACGCAGAGCACTGTACGCTGGAGGCCTTCCCAGGGGCAGGACAGCGCCCGTGTCCCATCCAAAGGACACTGTGGTTTTGATCTCACGCCTGCCAGACAAGTGGAATTCCAGGCGTCCAGCTCTAAGGTCTTACACGCGTAAACTTCGTTTCGCCAGATTCCGTGTCGAAGGTGTCCGCGGAGCCTGTGTGCTGCCGCCTCCTCCAGCTCGCACACTCACATCTGTGAAGCCTGGGATGTAGGCCTGTGGTCTTTACCTTTTCTAATGAGATGTACCGTTTTTTAAGGTCCAAAGAGTATTAGACTCCCCTCCCAACAAGATGGTAGTTGTATTTTTAGTACTTTGGTGAAAAAATGCATAACAATAAGCTACTGCGATTTCAGTAATGCCTTTAAATCAGTTTGTCTTCATTAGTCACACCAGAATCAACATCCAGTTGTGTTATATAGTGTATACATATTTGAAGCCATATCTCAGAACTTGGTTTGCTCAAGGAACATAGCCGGCCAGAGCCAGAACATGTTGCAGAGCCAGAATCTGAGCCCAGGTCTTTTGACTCTGTGCCTAGTCTTTTCCCTCCATAAGACACAAAACCCAGACCTTTGAGTTTGAGGTTCAGGACCATCAGTAATGAGGGTCTTACTCATCTCTTTCTGCCGTTTCTCTCTGCGTTCCCACAAACCTTAGCTCCCACAGTTGGCAGGTGCCGGCCAAGGATCACAGGTAAAGTATCTGTTTCCTTTCAATGGCTTGTCATTTAGCTTCAGTGACATGGTCTGTGTTCCTTCCTCTCGATTCCTGTGGTTCTTCCTATCAGGAATGTCCTACCCTCTCCTCTCTGCTGAACTGTGGCAAAGAGAAACAGGATTTGGGCCGTTAGGAGGAAAGGGGCTGCAAATCCTGCTTTGGGCATTTATATAGAAAGAGAAGGGACCGAAGAGGCTGACGGGTGCTTGACGGGAGGCAGCCCGCTGAGCTCTGCGGTCTCCCTGGCAGCGCCTCGCGGATGCTGCTGGGCACCACGGTCTCTGCGTCTCCTCGTTTCCACGCAGGTCAAGTCACTGCGTCTGGCGCTTTCTCTTCAGTCCTGCCCGTGCTCGTTTCCTCTCTCTTTCCTTCACAGTGTTAAATAAAAATGCCTTCCAAAGAAATTGGTGTTTGACTTGCTTGTTTATTTCACTGTGTTGGAGGGGAGGGAGGACGAGTCCTGGAGCAAGGCATTATTTACACCTGCAAACTTTGGATGGCTGTCTTCGGCCCCAATTGACTTAATTGTAAATCTTTTCTGCATGGCCCAAACTTCTGGACACAGTGTCTGGGTTTAATAACGCGCCTAGGCACCCCAGCAGGGCCGAGCTGAAAAGAGAGAATCCCCCGCCCCACCCCCACTCAGCTCAGAGGTAATTAGAGCACCTCCCCCCCTACACACACACACACACACACACACACACACACACACACAACCGCGCCAGCCGCCTTAGTGGGAGCTTTACTTTTTATTCGCAGGTGACGGAGTTGGGAAGAAAGGCAGGTTTGCTCTCCCTGCTGTGAATTCTCCAGATTCTTGGCATATTTAGCATCTTTTCCCTTCTGACCTGTTTCCCCTCCTCTCCCCCGGTGGTTGAGAAGTGGGTGGTGCTCTGTACACGTTGTAATGTGAGAGATACCAAGCTAAAGAGATCGGATGTATCTTGCTGCTTTACTTCTGGCTTACAAAGCTGTAGAAAGAAAAAGGAAAGTTTGTATCATTGCCACAAAACTTAGAATAGCAGCATAATAGCTCATGTCATTCATCTGGGATGTGCGTGTGATAGGTGCTCGTGTCTAGAGAAGGGATGGGAGAGGAAACTCGGGATTACGTGTGTGTCTTACTGCCAACGTGCAGATGTGATCGTTAGCAAGTCCGGCTGATCCCGGTGGAAGTGGGGAGGGAGCCAGCCTTTGACCGCTCCTCGCTGCAAGGCAGGACAATCAAGAAGCGTGTCACTCAGAGAGTTCACAGTAGGTTTTCCATGTATAGCAATGAATGGTTGGCTCAGTGATAGGACAAGGGTAGTCCCTGAAATTAGCGGGTTAGGTTAGGACTAATCCGTGAGTTCTCTCGGGGTAAACGTAGCCCCAAGTGCTGCTGGTGAGTATTCTCGGGGCAAACGGGAAATGGGTTAAACAAATTTATTAAGAACCTGCATGCGCCTTATACTCTCTTTGATGGAGTAAACAAGCCGGTCCCGGCTCTGAGAGCTCACATTCTGGCGGCTCTCCAAATGGGTTTTGATTCGAGGGCAGCACAAATAAAATGGAATTAAGGATGCCAAGGATGGGCAAAAACCTGCGCCAGTTACTGATGATGTAAAAATGAAATGGCAAGTTATCACAAGTTCCAGCCATTGTCTAACAGAAAACCCTGGTTGATATTGATAAATGGCACTGAGGACTCAGCCAGAAGTGTTTAATATACTCAGTCTGGCCATCGGCCTTTGCCGAGGAAGCTGCATTGTTCAAAACTCACCAGCAGACCACGTCGGTCTCTTGCCTTGTTCGTTGTCACATAATGGCCTCAACTTGTAGCCCTCTGTTCATCCAGTGAATGAGGCACCTGGATTTGCCTGCCTTTCCGGGTAGGTCTGACCTACCCAGTGCAAGTCTGAGTCATCCATTTTTCCCTAGTCAGTGTGAAATCTTTAGTCCCTTTGGGTCCCTTTAGCCCTCTGGTTCGATATTTTCCTGTGGACAGTCAGGGCTCAAGGAGCATTTCCTTCCCCCACTTCATCTCCCTCTCCTCCCTCCTGCTGGAGAATAACCAAGGCGACAAAGGTATAGCACCCTCGTCGTTGGGAGTGCATACGATTTATCTGGACATACCTTGCAGGGCCAGCAGGCTGGTGACCAGCATTGCCCAGAGCTTCTCCTGCCGGAAGCCTGAACTGAGAGCGCCTTTGCTGTGGCTGAGCTCACGGCGCCCAGTTCCTTGTAGTCCCATCACTGTGTAGTTCCCTGGCTCTGGTCCCAAAGAGAATCAGCGGATCAGGCGAGGGTTTCAGAAGTCCCTCCTTGTGCCGCATCTTGCGACTTCTCAGCATATAATTCATTACCCGGATAAGGATTTTTTTTTTTTTCAAACATTTGTGGGTACTTTAGCAGCAATAAATAGAGAATCTGTGTCGTACTGGGGATGCAAATAAGCCTACCTCGAAGGAACTCTTAAGGCATGCCAGAGAGCCAGCAAAGTTACCCGAGTCCCCTTGCAGTGGGTGTCTCCAGAGCTCATTTGAAAACCATCTTCTGGAGTGGCTCGAGCAGTTCAGGCCAAGTTAAAATCTGGGCTTTGGAATAGATCTGGTTTCTTATCCACCACGCACAAGCTGAGTGACCTTAACACAAATTACCTTTGAGCCCAAGTCGTCACATGACAAGAATAGTACCTTTCTCAAAAGGCCATGAAGATTAAATGAAGTAATAGATCACTTAGCATGTCGTTTTTTAATACTGTTACCTGTCTGGCCTTATTAGTTTCATCTTCCAAAAGGAATCTTATTTCCACATTTGGTGAGCATACGTGTTGGCTCTAATACATAAATACGGTGAGAACGAGAAAGGCATTGCGTCTCAGGGAGAAGCATCACAAGCAGAAATAGTAGGAGAATGGGAATAGTAGATTATAAGAGCGAGAGCCTTGTACCCCCTTCCTGTCCTCCAAGGCTTAGCATTTGTGCTTGGGATGCACAATACAAATTCGTGAGATGAATGAAAGAGTATTAAATAGAAATTTTATAAAACCCTTAGTGCCAGGATAAATGTACAAATTAACATTTTAGAAAGATGTTTAGAGTCGGCGGGCCGTTACTAGGCAACACCTCAGTGCCAGGCCCTGAGGTAGATGTGGGAGACACGAAAACGAGTAAGATGCAGTTGGGTCTCAAGTGGGGCTGGCCAGTTAGGAGACCATTGAAACGTGTTAAGTGCGAGACGATGACCTGGAGAACACCTTTGGAAAGAAAGGGACGAATGTTGGAAAGAACTAGCCGTACTTAGCAACTTAACTGGTTGGGGGAAGAGAATAAAGGAGGAACCATGGTTCTGACTAAATCGTGGATAGAAGTCCAGTCTCAGGAGGATGAATTTGAGTCTGCGGCATCAGTAGGGCATTCGGGAGCTGGGAGTCCAGTTATCAGGGGAAATGTTTAACTGCAACTTAGGAAAGAGGTTAGAGCTGGAGAAGTTGATTTGTGGGTCAGGTGCAAGGGTGGACAGGTTTAAATCCTAAGAGTGAGAACTAGGGAGAGAGTAGAGAGAGGACGGAGGGGCGAGGAGTGATTCTTTGGAAATGAATTCTCATGCGTTGAGAGATGGGTGGAGGAAACGGAGGCAGAGAAGGAGAGAAAAGAACAGCAGAAAGGTAGAAAAGCCGGTGGGGAGCACAGTCACAGAAGCCAGTAGAGAAGATGGGAGTTTGATCATGGTGAGAGCGGAAGTGCCCAGCGCCATACTAGGTCATATGGGAGACGTACCTGGGAGCATGGAAGAAAGTAAGTAACCTAAAGCGAAGCTGAGAATGTGGATTAACTACCAACCGTAGGAGATGAGGAAAGGCTCTGGGCCAAGTTTTTATCTTTGGGGTCTCTGTGTGTAATCTATTTTTCTTAAAAAATACGATAGTATTTTAAAGTTGATAACGGATTACAGCAGTATCCTTTTATCTTCCTCGGCTTATTCCCCAGAGACGATCGCTGTCAGTTCTTTGAGATGTTTCACCATATTCCTAAATAATATGCTCATGTCACCACTCCTTGATGAGAAAGTATAGACATTGATTGACTTTCTGCTATAGAAGATGAGGATGTGATTCCATAAACCTCTAGCTACTTCCCTTCTCTGCGTCTTTCAAAAACCATTATGACAAATTTTAGACTTTGGATTCTGTAAATGTTACTTATTACAGAGTCACGTTGCGTGCTATGATTATGTTCCCTTTGGTAAAATTTAGCATTTTCCCTGCAGATAATGATCACTTGACATTTTTTTAGACCGGCAGAGTTTTCCATATCCATATCTTCAGTCCTTTATCAAAAAGATCTATCAATTCCATTTTTACCCCTAGAGATTTTCCTTCCAGAGCCCTCTTTCTCTTGCCGCCTTCTAGACTAATTGCTCTTTTTGGCCCCTTTTCATTCTAGAATTTCCTTATCCCCTTTCCTCTGTTAGATTCCTTGTCTCCTGAATTCCATTTGTCTGCTCTACTGATTCACTTCCTAGTTTTACTGAAGCACATCCTTTGGTAGCTTCTTAAGAAAGATTACATGGAAGACAAAATTTGTTTTGAATTATTCCATGCCTTTCCTCACGTGTGGTTGGTAGTTTGGGCACAGAATTCTAAGTAGAACATAATTTTTAATTTTGAAGGCTTGCTGCATTGTCTGGGCATATAAAAACATGGAGAGTCACTCTGGGTATATGAGGATGTAAAGTTGAGGCTGGGGTGGCCATGTGTAGGCAGGCTGTCCACAATAGTGACAGAACACGGGAGCACACACAAAATGAAGGAGATACGCAGAGGCTCTGCTGCCCCAGAGATGGAGACAATAACAGTTTGGGGTTCTGTTGGCTTCCTGCTTTCTGATTCTAGAAACAAACTCCTGGACACCGGCTATACTTGCCTTACTATTTTGCCCCTTTAATCTACGGCAGCTTGAATGGGTTTCCCTTTCTTATAACTAAATGCTCTTGAAAACAACTGTCTGATTTATCTCAAGTCCATCCATCTGTTTAGAAACAGCCACATCCCTGAGAGAGGGCCGAACTGGGAGTGGGGAGGACGAAATTCCAGACCTTTCTGCTTGTACCGGCCCTGGTCAGTGAGTGGCATCAGACAAGGTGCTTCACCTCCTTGTGACTCAGTCTCAGTGTCAACAAAAAGTGGGATGGCTACCTCAGTACGATTTTTTAAAATTCAAGACAACATGAGATGGCCCTCGTCTATGTGCTTCACGGGACGCAGCGTCTGCCGGTGGGAACGGTGGGCCAGGACCGAGTCACGGGGAACACATGTCCCTGAGGAGCTGCCCACCCAGGGCCTGAGACAACCACTGGTCTCCAGCTGTCCACCTGCTGACGTCCCACCTGGTGCCATTAGGGATATTGGGAGCTCACCTGTGACCGAAAGGGAGAAAAAATGGCCTTGAAGGTGGATGTCTGACTTCTGGCTTCTGGCACAACACTGGTAGATGCCACTGTTGGACGGCATGGCTCGGTCTATGGTGAACACCAACTGCGATGACCGTTCGCTGCCGCCATCTGGCCCACGATACCGTTTCAGTCTCAGCTGCTCCAAGCTGGTCTCAGGGGAGCAGTCCTGAGTCCTGTTCTTGCACAAAAACACGACAACCCCCTCTGCCTCTCCTTCCTTATGCCACACGGTACAGATTATGCTTAGTCTCTCTCCTTCCTGGGAAACTGAGCTGCTGATGTTCATGCATCCTGAAACAGGAAAGCAGGAATTAGCCGTGGGAAGCCAGGTGTACATGGTAAATGAAATTCACTTCCACAGAAATGTCAAGGTGAGGCAGGGGCCTCCCCACAGACATTAAATACCAGCCTCTTCAAAGAGCTGTCTACGTGCTGTAGGCGTATCTGAAGGACACAGGCAATCCCAGCTACTAATCAGGAATGATTTGTATTTTATTTCTGCTCTCCGTCTGGAACTCTGTAGGGCCTTTAACTATCAGAGTGCACTGTCTCTAATCCTCGAGATAGCCTTAGAGACAGGTCTTCTTGTTCCCATTTTATAGATTAACAGACTGAGGCACGGAGTGGTTAAATGGGTTTGCCAGAGTCGACGAATATTGTGGTATCTGAATCTCAAACCTGGATGTCCTAACCTGTAGGAATCTTAGATCGGGCCAGATTGCCAGGCTCTTTGCAACACAGCAGAAGCAGAATGGGCAATCGGATGCTGACAAAAAAGAAAACACTGTATTTTTGACACTTTATTAGTGTCAAGAAGGGTGGGTCCTTTTCTACCTCGCCAGAAAAAAATTTATGGGGTCCATCCCTCCTCACGAGTCCAGGATCCTCCCTGATGGCTGTCTCTGCCCTGGGGACCTGGGGGTGGGCTGTCCTTACCACCAAGCTGGATGTCAGCGATTACCAGCAGAACAGCCAGAGCAAAGCAGCCTCTGCCAGGTGCCATCGACGTCCCACACGTTGTCAGCAGCTCTAGGAAATCGAGGCAAATGCCGGCTCTGCCGATGTCCTTGGCCTCACTTTCCTGAAAGCACAGGGGGGATCCTGGACAAGGCCTTCCGGGGCTCCAAGGCCGCCTCCCTGTTCCAGGCACCTCCTTCGGCTGGCCGGGGTCTGATGGAGATGGAGGAGGGCTTGGGTGTGAGAATCTAGCTGGCTGGGAAGCCAGATGCCGAATCCAGTGGGGTGTACTGGAGAGAGGAGACTGAGAAGCTAAGGGTTGTCTTTGCAGATTTTTTTTTTCTAAGTTAATTGGATTGTCAGTTCAAAGAATATGAACATTAAAATTTTTTTTCTACTGCGTGTTATCAGATTGCTCTCTAAAAAGATGTTTGAGATTAAGACGTTCAACAAGAATGCTTGATAATGTACATTTCTCCACGGGCTTCCCAGCACTGGATATTAGCGATCTTTTAAGTTTTTGCCAGTCTGAGGGATGAAAAAAACATCTCGCTGATGTTTTATTTTGCGTTTCCATGACTATTGAGGGTGAAGAGCTCTTCTTATGTTTATTGGCCATTAGTATTTCCTCTTCTATGAATTGTCTGTTCATAGTTTTTGCATTTTTTTTTAAATCAATTTTTAGGAGCTTTCTCTATATTAGAGATATTAACCTGGCCGCCATTTTTTAAAAACATGTATTTCCTTCCAATTTGTTGTTTGTCTCTTGACTTTGTTTTCTTTCCATAAGGAAAATTGACATTTGCATGCAGTTAAATACCATACATCTATCTTCTCTTTTAAATCATTTGTGTTTCCTGTATTAAGAAAGTTTGCTTCAGGCTGAGGTGGTAATTTTGTTCCAATATTTTTATTGTTTTACCTGTTACATTTATATTTTCTAATCCTAGCTAAGAAAAATTATCACCATGTTGAAAAAAACAAAACTGAACAAAAACCAGGACCAGGAAAACAACTGAATTTTCACCAGTAGAGAAATTGTTGAATAAATTTTGACTCATCCATACAATAGAATATGATATTTATTATTAAAAAGATTGAGTTCTATAAATATGGGCATGAAGGGATGTCCATAATATATACCATTATGTCAAAAAAAGATAAATTGTACATCTGTATATATAAAATAATGGTTGCCTGATTGTTGTGGAAACTTCTAGAGATATTCTATGCCTATATAAACAGTTCCATATTTTCCTTTTTAAAAATAATAAGAACACATGATAACATACAGTACACGCTGTTCTACATTTTGCTGTTTTCGCTTACCAGTATGTCCTGGAGGCTATATTAGTACATAATTTCCCTTTTTAAAAATTGTTGCACACTATTCGTAATTATGTGAATTTATTCACATAGATTGCAATTAGCATTTTGACTATTTTCAGTCTTTTCCAAACCCTACTGCAATGAATAACCTTGTATATACGTCATTTTGCACATGGTGAATCTCTAGAAGTTGCATCGCTGGTCCAGGGGTGTATATGCGTTTGCTATTTTGACAACCGTTGCCATATTGTCCTTCACAGAGGTCACGCCAGCGTACCTTTCCACAAGCAAATGTGAGAATGTTTTTTCATACCCATGCCAACAATCTGATGCTAATTCGAGAGGTGAAAAATGGCCTCAGTGTGGTCGTAATTTACAATTCTCTTATCACGACTGAGGTTAAGCATATTTCGATGTGTTCAAGAGATGTTTGTTTTTCCTTTTCTATGAAATTGCCCGTTTTTCTTTCGGGTTGTCAACAGTGATGTTTTTCAATGGATTTGTAGGAGTTCTTTCTATATACTCAAAAAATTAGTCCTTTGCGATAGGAGTTAGAAATACTTTTCTAGCCTACCATTTGTCTTTTCTATGGTAGTTTTTAAAAAATTTATTAAATGTATTGAGGTGACATTGGTTAATAAAATTATATAGGTTTCCAATATACAATTCTATGATGCGTCATCTGTATGGTGTGTCAAGTCTCCTTCTGTCACCATGTATTTGACCCCCTTCACCCTCTTGTACCTCCCCTCTCTATGGTGGATTTCGTGTTGCAGAAATCTTTTTGTTTTCATGTAATTAAACTTACCAATCTGGTCTTTTACGTTAATCTCTGTCAGGTTTTGTGACATGCTATACGGGCCTCCTCTACTCCCAAATTTAAAACATTCTCCCATGGTTTCTTCCAGTACTTTTATTTTTTAATTTTCTTTTACATTAAAATTGTTGTATTTATAGAATTCATTTTGATGGAAAAGGTAAGGTACCGCCGTAACTTAATTTTTTTCGAGCTTTCTACCAGTCAGTTTCAATACCTTTAGTTGAATAAAACAATCCACTCTTGACTTGAAATGCTTGTCACATACACCTGTGTGTATGCATGCCGATTTGTATACTTTCGTTCTATTTATATGTGTGCCCGACAAATTTTAGCAGATTTATATTTTAATTCTTAGTAATTTATAGACTTGTTAATATTTTATTTTTAAATGTCTAATCATCTTTGTTGTAGATTTAGAATGTTTTAATATTTAGTCTCTAAGTTTTCAGAATTTTTCTATCTGATATTTATAATCAGCTTGTCTAGTCTCTCTCCCTTCCCACCATCTACCACCAGAGAAAAATAATATTGGTATTTTTTAAAATCGGAATATGTGCAATTGATGTTTTAACTTAGAATTGAAATTTTTGTGGCATTGATTCTTTTGATCCAAGAATGTGATATTCCTCTCCATTTTTTAAGTCTTGTGTTTTGATGTGTGTCTCTCAGCCATGTTTAGATGTTTTCTTCATAAAGGTCTTGTTCATTTGTCACTAAGTTTATTTTGTGTATATTTTTTGTCACTATCGAAAATATCATTTTTTTCCCATTGTCTTTTATTTTTTGTTTCTACCTTTATGTCATTTTTCTTTTATATCATTCATTAAATCTTTTAACTCTTCATTGTTGTTTCTACATGAAAGACTGTTTATTATATATTAATTTCATATCCGGCTGCCTTCTCTAATAATTCTATTGTTTTTAATAATTTTTCAGTTGATTCTCAGGGTTTTGACAAGCAATCATATAATTTCTAAATAATGATAATCACTTCCTTTTCTATTTTTATATCTCTGATTTCTTTCTCCTGTCTAATTGTGTTGGCTAATATCTCCAGAAAATATTAAATAACAGTGGTGATAATGAATCCCTGTCTTTTTTTCTGAATTTAGTGGGGAATGCTTAATTGTTTCCTTATTAGGTATATGCTAGCTAGGGATGAGATGTTTTATTATATTAAGGAATATACATTTATTTCTATTAGGAGTTTTAAAAAAACCAAGGAGGAATGTTAAATGCTTTATTAATTGCATTTTAAATGTCAACTAAAATGATCATATGATTTTTCTTAATAGATATATTTGGTCTGTGTTAATAGATTTCCTGAAATTGGTGCATGCTTGCAACCTAAAAAACAAAAACAAAACCAGCATTTGGTCTTGGCATATTATTCTTTTAATATGCTGCTGGATTCTGTTTCATAGTATTTTATTTAAGGCTTTCCCTTCAATATTCTCAAATAAGATTGATTTCTTTTTTATTTTTTGTGTTACTTTAGTTGGGTTTTAGAATAAATGTTAGGCTTATTTCACAAAAAGAATTTGGAAACTTTTCTTTTGTAAGCTCAGGAATGATTTCCAAAAGCAGTGAAATTATCTGTTTTTTAAAGGTTTAGTAGCATTCTCTAGTGAGACCATCTGGGCCTAATGTTTTAGCGGGGCAGTTAGGCCTCAATCCAATTCAGGTATATGTTTCTGTTATATCAGGATTAGAGACAAATTCTGTTTAGAAATAACTCCAAGAACGGTTTTTACATTTTATTTTCACACTGAAAACCAGTCAGATTTGCTTCAGCCTCAAAAAGCATGTTTATGTAAAATGAAATTAATGCTGGCCGAGAGCTGTACTTTTTTTCTAAATGGGAAATAGGTTAAAAACTTAGGGGGGGAAAAAAAAGTAAGCCCATTAATTGCCCCCGAACATCCAATGTTTTTTATTTAACACATGCAGAGCCTAAGTGCTTGAAATAAGTATCTGACGCAATGATAATAGCACAAATCAAAAGCTATCCCCAATTAGCATGCCATCCACACAAAATGGCACATTTCAGTTTTAAGGCAATTGACTTAAAAACACTTTTATTCTGATCGCCTTTCGTTTCGTCTTACAAACAATCATCCAGCATCTTAGTTCTGACCTTTTTGTTAATCCCACCAATAGACACATTTTTTTTATTTTGACCCCATGCTATAGCGTGACTAGATTTTTTTTAAATTGTCATTGTAAAAAATATATAGTATGTAAAACACATAATGAAAGTCCATTTCGTTGGTTCCTAAACTTCTCAAGGTGAACATCTTACATTCTGACATATTTCCAAATGTGTATGTATGTGTATGTATGTGTGTGTGTGTGTGTGTGTGTGTGTGTGCGTGTGTGTGTACAGACAGATACACAGATATATACATACATACATAGATACATATTCTGTACTCAATTTTTTAAATTATAAAAGTATTACAGGATCATCTTAGCGAGTCGAACAACATAAAATGGCATCAAGACAAATTACTAAACTCTCCCTCTTCCCTCTCTGAGGTAAACAAGACAAACAATATGCTATGTATCTTTGTACTTGTTCTCTGTGGTCTATAAATATATACAATTGTCAGGGAGAAAAAAAAATCATCCTCTACCCTTCAAAGATTTCCTGGCTGGTCTAATAATCAAATTAACACAGACAGATTAGTAGGAGAGAAACAGATTACAAAGTTTAATAACACGCATACCCCTACCCTCCTCCCATATGTGAGAGAGACCCGGGAACCCTGAGTAACACCCCACATGGCGGCAGCCACCACCTTCAACTCCACATTCACAGTTAAAGACAAAAGGTGATGCTGGGGGTAGAGTCAGCTGTGGGAAGTTACCAGGACAAACACAGTAAACAGAATCTTGTAAAGTGCTTACACATCTGGATTGGCTTTCTTTCTCTTGCTGCTTTTGGAATCCAGCCAACTCTGACAAAGCTCAGGCCAGTGTGCTAACTGCTGGAGATGACACGAGTTTCTCCCATCTCCTCGACAGAGCATGAGACGTGTGAGTGAGACCATCTGCAACCAATCAGCACCCAGCCTACCTCTGGCTGACTCCAGACAAACCAATGAGCTCAGAAGAACTGCCAGTTGAGCCCCGCCCAGATTGCCAAACCACAGAATTGTGAGCTAAAAAAAGGTTATCGTTTTAACCACCAGAGTTTGTCGGGTGGTTTGTTGTACAGCAACGTGATTGAACATTCATTCTTTTTCTCTTCCATTTTCTACTGCAGGAGCTTAGCCATTAATACATATATAATACGTAATAAATATAATAAAGAAAAAATACTACATCACGTAAAAAGTAATCAAGTTGACCATTCGATGTATTTTTTTCTGATAGATTTTTGCTGTATGAGATAGAAATTCAAATAGATATTGCTGTTAAAAATTGTCTTGTTCTCATCTGCTTACGTGAACATTATCTCTCGACACAAACATCTATTTAAAAAATACATATATAATGATGCTGAATGCTTTTCATTTCAGCAAAAAATAATATCCACAGATAGAATGAAATTTTTTACAAAGCCAATCTAACACTTTGAGTGTATAAAATGTTGAAGTATTATGTTTAAAAACTAACAAAATTTGTTGTTCGATCAATCATATTAAGAAGAGGAATTTTAAAAAAATATATTTACAGCTATGGTCATAAGAAGTTTAAAAACATCTAATTTTAGTTTCCTTACATATCTCCTGCAGAGA